AGCTAGGATTTGCAAAAGAGCTACCCAAATTCACACTTATAAGCGCATGGATAAACACTCAACAAAAAATAATTGAGCACTAAGAAACATGCATTTTTGAGTCATAGAAAGATACATGTACCAAAATGTACATAGCAATACTTTTTGTAGTAGCAAAGAACTCAGAACAAAGCATTAGCAAAGAACTGAAAAAAAAACCTATCAAATGGAAGATAGATAAACAGACTATGGTCCATGAATACAACTGAATGTTATTGCACGTAGCAGGGGAGTGTTGCAGCCAGCTCTAAGTACCAGCTCAGGAGAGCCAATTGTTGAATGTTCAATGAGCATTTCCACTGGAAACTGGCAAGTTCTAGGACCTGAATTGCCATTTTGAGATTGTCTAGACTTGAGAAAGTGTTGAATACCATTTAAAATACCTAGACGGTATAAAATAACTGAGCATATAGCTGCCAAAACAGACACAGGAACTATATGAATCTAAATATAAAATACTTTTTATGCTAATAAATTCAGATCTAAATAAGTGAAGTAATATTTATTGTTCATAGGTATGTAAAGGCAATATAATTTTTAAATGACAATTTTTACTCAATGTCATCCCAATTAAATTACTAGAAAGTGTTTTACTAAGTTAGAAAAAATAATAACAAAGTTCATTTGGAAGAACAAAAAGTCAGGAACCTCAAAGAAACCGGGGGAAAAATGTAAAGGAAGTAGATTTATCAGTATTAGACCTTAAACTATATTATGAGGTGAGAGCAATGTTGAAATGTAAAAAGGACAATTTTGATTATTTTAAATTAAAATTTTCTCATGTAAATAAAACTTATGTAGCCAAGAATAGAAGGAATGCAAAAAATTGAGGAAAAAAACCTTTCACAGACAATCTCTCAGGTAGGATGTGATTGGGTTGTAATATTACTGTGGTGTAGGAAATGATGAATTGATTGATTTAGAAAAACGTGGAAGACTAGGACTTATGAAGGAAGATGCTATCCACCTTCAGAGAAAGAGATGATAGACATAAATAAGCATAGTATGGTCTTACATATGTGTGTATGAGTATATATGTGTTATGTTTATATATATGTATATGCATGTACATATGTATATATGTGTATATATCTGTGTATATCTATGTATATGTGTATATATCTATGTATATGTGTGTGGATATATATTTTATATAAATACATATATACATATATATGTATATATATACATATATATGTGTGTATATATATATATCCACACTTTATTGTAGCCTTTCTTAGGGTGATAAGGGAAACAGGGGGAAAAATAAAGTTAAAAGTACGTAGCAGAGAACAAAAGAAAACCAATAAGGAAGCAAAGAAAAGCTGGGCAGCTTTGAAAACAATGTGTAGTATTTATTATATAGGTTTTCTTGAAATGGAAATTAATTGTTTTATATTGAATCCTCATTTACAGTTTGCTATATACATAGCAATATTTTTTTTCTTTTCTCATTTTGTATTTAAGTCAAGAAAGTGTTGGGAAAATGTTAATAATGCAGATTAAACTTAAAAGTATGTCATTCTACCTTTTTTTTTGGAGAGCTGTTTATTAATCATTTGCCATCATAGATTTGACTATAAGAAACAATGAATACAATCAGTACTGTATGATCTGGTGCAAAATAAAATAAAGGGGAAAATGGGAATGTGTGTGTGTATCTCTGTGTGTATAACACATACACACAATGACCATAACAATATAAATGGAAAGAACAACAAAAGCTAAAACTGAAAATGATTGGCGTGAAATTGTACTGAGTAAGCTTGGTTTCCACTAAGAGATAGAAGAGAATGTCTTCTTTCCCCTACCCTTCCCCTACTTCTTTTATAGAGGTGGGAGATTATGAATAGGGAACAGTATGTATAATTTTGGACTAGGCTGATATATGTGTTTTGCTGAATGCCTATTTTTCTCCTTTATTTTTTCTTTATTTTAAGAGAGTGCTAGGGGAAGAAGAGAAGGAAGGTGGAATATATCAATAAATGAAAATGCATAAAAAAAAAGAATAGTTAGTATTCATATAGTGCTTTAAGATTTGCAAAGCACTTTACAAATATTATTTTGTTTGATCCTCACAATAGCCCTGGGAGGTAAGAGCTATTATTATTCCATTTTATAGATGAAAAAACTGAGGCAGATATGTTCAATGATTCATTCAGGGTCACATAACTAGTACCTGAGGTTATATTTGAACTTGTCTTCTTGACACCAGGGACAGTTCTCTATCCACTGTGCTACGTAGCTATCATATCAATAAACATTTTAAAAAACATATATATGTAGGGTATCCCCAAAATCTAAGCTATTACAGCTTAAAAGTGCACTGTCTTTGAGGACACCTTTTAATATAGGTGTATGAAAAACTGTATAGAAGGGAAACAATCAGTTAAGTCTATATATATGTTTTCTTATTTTTTAAAAATGGTGGTGATGGTTTTTCTTCTACTTTGTTCTATTTAGGAAGTGTGTTAAGTTGAACCAAGATACATACACACACATAATATAAAATATTTTAGGAAAGCAGAAGCCTTTTTTTGTAATGGAGGGACTACATAGACTATCACTCCCATTTGGGCCTCCTCAAAGAAAAAAAGCTAGTCTGACTCAACAAATGGACACTTTTGACTTTCTGAGGGAATTTAGGGAATTTAAACAGCTGTTTTGAAATTAGCATCTCAGAAAGCAGAACAATTTGACTTGGACTTTTATTGTTTCAGATTTCAGTTCTTTCACATAACTGTTAAATTCTTGTCACATATCAAGTTACCTTAAGTAGCTTTTTGTGAGTTTAATTAAGTCTTACTAATTCTCCAACAGCTCAGAGAAAGATGAATTCCTTAAATATTTAATCTGTTTATGACTGAAGTGTCATTTTCTGAATACAGCAGTAAAATTCTAGGAATTAATTACACTTTGAATTAAAGCTGCTTTTTTATATGCTCGACATGTAGTCATAGTTCACCCAATGTGTAAATCAAACAATCCATCTATGCATCATGAAAAATTTACTTCAAATGTTGTATTTAGCAAATAACTACAGAGCCCCAGTGCTGACCATGGGCAGAAGATTTTCTCCCTGTTCCTCCATCAGCCCACACCCTCAGTCCTATCCAGGTTTATCTTTTCACCGATTCCCACACTTGGTTCTTTCTCTCTCTCCTTCTTCCTTTGTTCAAGTCCTCTTGAATGTTTTAAGCAGCCAGCTAACTCTTGTCAAATCAGAAGCTCAAGCCTGTTTTCCATATTACCCTTTCTTAAAACCACAATTCAGTACCTCCATTAGGACACTTTTTTTGCTATTAGCACAAATACTGAACAAAATTCTTGTCCTATTCCTATCCTAAATGCACCCCTGCACGTGTTGTATCCATATATAGACATAGCAATAGGGATTACTCCTGTGATTTTATTGCCATAGGGAACTCTCTCTCCCAATGTAGACTGCAATTAATGGTCTCGGAGAGTTGTTTAGATCATTGAGAAATACAATGATTTGCCTAGCACCAGTATATGTCAAAGGTAGGATTTGAACCCAAGTCTTCATGGTTCTCCAGGCTTCCTCTCCATCTGTGTATATTAATACACTGATATGTATAATATACATAATATATATAATGTCTATTAATAACTATGTTTATGTATATTTATATATAATAACTGTATAGCTGTACATTTTATTAATGTTAACTGTATATTTGTCCCCACAGCTATACTGTAATTTCTACTAAAGACCTAACCTGATCCCTCATTGCTGTGTGGAAGTGACCCTCTATTCTCAAAGGCTATAAGAGTGGAGCAAAGTCCTGGCAGATCCTACTATATTGAAAATGTATGAGGCCAGTGACAGACTGTATCTCTCTCTGTCATCTGAGGTATCAATCTAGCTGAGTTCAGAAAGGCCCTTTACCAGAAGGTTGGCCACAAGGTAATGAGTTCAACTCCTGGCTCTTCTACTTAGTACCCATATAGCCTTGGGCAAGTCATTTCCAATCTCTGGGTTTCAGTTTCTTCATCTATAAAAAGGGGGTTTGAACTAAACAATCTCTGAAGTTCCTTCTGGCTCCAGCTCTTTGATCCTATGATCTGAATTTGTTTTGGCCCAGTAACTCACCAGATCAGCTACTCAGGCATGGAGGGATTATAATATACATCGGTGGCACTTGGGCTCACACAGATTAAATCTTAGAAGTACCAATGAAGTATCATATCATAGGTTTATAAGGATGGAAAATAGATGGGCCAAGATAAGTCTCCAACTGTATACACTCAATCACACAATTGTTCAATGCCTACTGTGATCAGCGCAGTCTGCTAGGCTTTGTAGGGAGGATGCAAAGAAATTAGAAGGCAGTGTAATAGCAGAGATGAAGAACACATTTACATTCCTATGTAACTTGAGAATATTCCATTTTCAATAGATATTTTATGCCTAGCACTGGGTTAGGAATTGTAAGAATGAATATGGTCTGATTGGCAGAATGGTTTCCAGTCATTTCGACAAACACCCAGGTTGACTTAAGGCATAAGTACCTTGTTTCTACACTTACAAGACTTGATTTTGAGAAGTACCAGGAATTTTTAGGGATAGTTTCCCAGCCCCAAACAATAGCAGATAGTAACAGAAAGATCATTTTTAAGATGATTTTTTAAAATAATCCCTTCCTTTTGCCATGTGATTATCCACACCTTTGTCTCAAAGCACATTGAAGGAACATGAAATAATCATGTAAGGGATTTCAGTTCTGCTTTCATATGTACGTCTGTATGTATACATGTACATATATGAATACCTATGGGGGTGGATTGTGGTGCTCTTTTAGTAATAACATTCGCACAGAAAACTGAATTAAAAGAATGATTGCTAAAATTCATCCTATTGGTACCTCTGATGCTGAACAAGTACAAGATAACATGGTAATAAAGTGTGTAATGTGTGGTCTTTGCCAGATGGTACTTACCACCTTTCATCATGCCCACTTCATAGCATTTTCGTAGTCGACAGGCCTGGCAACTCTTTCTCCTGTTCTTGTCAATGGTGCATTGGTTGGTCGCAGGACACATGTAGTCATTATGCCCTGTTCAAAGCAAAAGGAGACAAAGAATATGATTCCTGGGATCCGAAACAGATCAATTTAAACACGGTGGAGTGTTTGCATGAGACTCCATGCTACTTGGCTAATAATATAGTTACACTTGCCACAAACCAGTTTAAGCGATTGTCACATAAGCATCATTTTAACCAGATCAAAAGCCAATCATTTAGACTTGATTTCTGCCTTAGCCATTTCCTCAGTGGGTCCTTTGAGAAAGTTAGTGAAAGCAAATTTCAGCTTAGCAGCCTTACTCTCTATTTCCTTAGCTATTATGTACTTCTGGGACTGAGCGTCCCATGTCTAAAATGTTCTTCCTTCTCCTCTTCTCCATCATCCTCCTTCCCTGGCTTCCTTCAAGTTTCAGCTAACTTCCTTCAAGTTCCCACTTTCAACAAAAAGCCTTTCCTAATCCCCCCTAATTTTAATGCCTTGCCTTTATTGATTATTCCCTATTATTTTCTGTTCTTTGTTTTTCAAGTTTTTTTTCAATCATGTCCAACTCTTCGTGACCCCATTTGGGGTTTTCTTGGCAAAGATATTAGAGTGGTTTGCCATTTCTTTCTCTAGCTCACTTTACAGATGAGGAAACTGAGGCAAACAGGGTTAAGTGACTTGCCCAGACTCACACAGCCAATAATTGTCTGAGGTCAGATCTGAACTCAGGAAGATGAGACTTCCTGACTCCAGGCTAGGTGCTGTATCCACTTCACCACCTAGCTGTCCCACTGAATGATTGATTGAGTTCTATGTGAGGTCATTACACATAGATGAGAACAGGTAAAGATTCACGCAGAAAGTGGAAGCAAAGTTAAATCATGAATGGAGAGGAATTTAGGTGGCAAAAAGGGAAAATATTCAATCAATCAATTAACATTTATTAAGTACCTACTATGTATCACGCACTGTGCTAAGGGTTGGGGATACAAAAAGAGGCAAAAAGACAGTCCTTACCCTCAAGATGTTCACAGTCTAATGGTAGAGTCAAGGTGTTGACAAATATATACAAATAAACTATATACAAGATAAATAGGAAATAATTAACAGAAGGAAGGCACTAGAATTAAGAGGAGTTGGGAAAGGTTTTGGTTTTTTTTTGGTAAAAGATGAGATTTTAGCTGCAACTTAAAGGAAGTCAGAGAAGTTAGTGGGTGAGAATGAGTAGAGGAAGCACTGAAGGTACAGAAGCTAACCAGAGAAAATTCCCAGAGCCAAGAAATGGATTATCTTGTTCACGGAACAACCAGGAGGTCAGTGTCATTTGATCAAAGAGTACATGGTGGGGAATAAGGTGTAAAACGTCTAGAAAGGTAAGAGGTTGGTTATTAAAGGCATTGAAAGGAGAAAGAGGAGGAAACTAGAGAGAGTCTGGGCATGAGTGAGGTGAAATATGACTGGAGTTCTTCTTAAACAGTGGTCCTAGACAGAGAGTTACCAAGGAGGAAAGAAAGTCCCTAGAGTAGAGGTTTCTAGTAGTGACAAAATTCAGATAATGGGTACTAATGAGTATCAGAAAAAAGTGTGAACTCACATAGGTCCTGAGTCATATGTTGAACTAAATGGCTCTAGGTTCCCTTCCAGTTCTTAGATTTTATGAGGCTATGACACTTAATGATACTTTGTAGGCATTAAGAAGCCAGTGAAGGTTCTTTTTTTTTTCTCTGCCCCTCCCCCCAGCCTAGAGATGGCTACTATTAGACACAAATAGGTATAGATAGATAGATAGATGATAGATAGATAGATAGATAGATAGATAGATAGATAGATAGATAGATAGATGTATATATGTAGGTATAGGTAGATAAAGATATAGATATAGGTATGTATATGTCAAATTATTCTATACATATTTCTATTCATCAGTTCTTTCTCTGGATGCAGATAACATCTTTCTTCATATGCCCTTTATAGCTAATTTCAGTATTTATAATAGACAAAACAACTTATTCACTCAAAGTCATTCTTAAACCAATATTGCTGTTATTGTATACCATGTTCTCTTGGTTCTGCTCATTTTGCTCTTCATTATTTCATGTTTTTTTCTAAAATCATTGAGCTCATTATTTCTTATAGCACAGTAGTATTACATCATAATCATATACCAGAACTTGTTCAGCCATTCCCCAATTGATGGGCATTCCTGCAATTTGCATTTCTTTGCCCTCACAAAAGGAGCTGCTATTCACATTTAAGAACATATAGGTTCTTTACTTTTTTCCCTAATCATCTTTGGATATAGAACAAGTAGTGGCATTTCTGGGTCAAAAGGTATAGGTAGTTTAATAACTCTTTGGGCATAACTCCAAATTTCTCTCCAAAATGGGTGGATCATTTCACAATTCAATGAAGATTCTTGAGCCAAAAAACGATATGACTGGATTTTTGCTTGAGTAAAATTAATCTTTAGTAGTATGAAGCATAGGTTGAAGAATAAAGCAGAATAGTGGACTACTATAATAGTCTAAGCATGTGGTAATGAGTGACTATATTATAGTTGTGACTGAGGGAATTGTAAAAATTGAACAATGCAAGAGATGATACAGTGGTAAGATAAATTGGGATCTGTGACATTTCATATATACATACACACATACATATATACATACACATGCATACATATATGTGTATATGTGTATGTGTGCGTGTGTGTGTGTGCGTAAAGAAGTGAGCAAGAGAGAAGAGTCAAGAATCATACATGCACTGGATGTGATAAAGTATGGATGCATCCCCAGGGTCTTCCTTTTTCTATGATGCCCTTTCTTGTTCTGTAACTGTTTAGACATGATGAAATGGCAAACAAAAGGCTTCAAAGTATTTAAGTATTTTTTAAGCAGTTACTTCCTTTCAGAGAGGGGTTTACACGATCAAGGGCAAGGGAGAAAAACAAATGAACAGAATATACTTAGTGGGTGGGAAGGGAGAGTGTGGTCTCAGTGATTATCTGAAAAGATAACCAGAATGCCACTATGTAATCAATAAAAAGTGTTTTTTGGTGCCCACAAATTCAGCTTATTACACAAAAGTTATAAAATAGAGTTGGAGCAGCATTTAAAAACTGAGAGAGGGGAGGTCATTTAGGTAATACCATAGAAACAGCAATACAAAGCCATCAACAAAAAAGTTTGTCTCACACGAAGTCTACCCAAAATAGGTTCTATTCCAGTGATGGTATGCTAACCCTGTTCCTTCCTCTCTCAGCAATATCAGACTCTCCCTGGATGCATGACTATTTGTGACGTTTTTCAAAGTAGAAAAGTCTGCTTGCAATTTGGTATTACACTTGTAACATGTTAACACATAATAACAGCGTGCTGAAACGGAACTGTTATTGCAATTTTCCCCCAAGGATTTCACTGTGAGGCTGGTCTCCTTCCTCTCTGAGGTCAATTGACAACTGTCTTACATTCTTATGTTAAGCACTGTCACATTCTATCCTATCTCTGAACAAGATCTTCAATTCATTTTGTAGCTACTTGCTGTTTCATGTTGTTCATTTCATTTGTTTGTTAATTTCATTTTGATTCTTCTTTTCCTTGAAGACAAGGCCAACCTTTTTGTCATATTTTATACCTTGTAATTCCTAGTCATACCTATAGCAGTAAAAGTAATACACAGTTGTAAACAGTGAGGAAGAATGTTATTTATTGTTATTTTTCCAGTGACATGTAAAGAAAGGTTTCAACATTTACTTTTAGAAGATTTTGAGAAGAAAATGAGTTTATATGTGTGTGTATAAAGCACTTCATAAACCTTAAAGCATTGTGTAATTTCTAGTTTATTATAATTGTTGTTATTAAGAAAGGATCCAGCCACAGCTCTGGACAGTCACTGAATACAACACCAGATTAGAAATTAAGGGAATTAGTGGTTGTGCATGCTAATCTCAGCAGCATTACTAACTCTCTTTTAAACCTTGAACAAATTGCTATATTAGTATGGGCTACCTTAATGTCTTTCTTTATGCAGAGGAGGCCTGGTTCAGGTCTGCTAAAGAGTAGGCATTAAAGACCAGTTGATGAATATTATCATCAGTACCCCAAAGAGAAATTACTTTTGGTTAAAATTAAATTCTTGGGAAAGTGTTTTGGATTTGTGATCAGGAGATTTTTTTTTAGTTTTTTTCTTAATGTATTTTCCATTTATGAAGAATTTAGGAGATGAGTTGCACTATCTAACACAAACTTGCTGGATAAAGTTATAGATTTTACAATTTACTGAGGGCAAGATATGACATGCCATGAAATACTTTAGTTGCAGAACTCTTTGTTCTTTATTCAGCTCTGGGGTCAGCCCCAATTAGAGCAGGGTGGAGTGGGAACCTGACAGAAATCCTAGTCTCATAAAACTTGGTCCTCTATCCTTAGATATACATTATAAAATACGGTGTATAAACAGGCTTCAGATCAAATTAGCATCTGCATTCTTCTGTTGCAGTGCAGGAACCAATCAAAGAGTCAGCTGAATTATAAATGTGTAACCGTGGTGATAGACCACACACTGCCTTAAACATACAGGCAACGGGGTTATTTTTAGAATCGTCCTTATTAATGGGGACAGATTAAGGAAGTAATAGAACCAGAAACTAATTCCATTTGGCCAAATTCCACCTCTGAGCGAGCAAAAAGAGTTGTGTAATTATTCTACTCACACCTAAAATACACTATTTTCGTGTTCAGTTAGCTGTTATACAGTGCATTTCATTCTGCATCAAACCCCAAACACTTCACTTTTTTTTTCAAAAAGCCTACAATTTAGGAAAAGAACAGTCAAGTCCTAAAGAGATGTAGTAACTACACACAGTCATATTCAAAAATAATTAGCTGTAACTATGTATGGAGGGAAAAATACTTTGGACTTTCTCCCCAAATACCCTGCATTTTGCAAGCTAAAAGATAGGAGCCCTGAATTAGGCAAGAGGGATATTGGCTGAGTCTCTTGTTTAAATTGGCCATACAAACAGCCAACCCATTTTTAGATATATATCT